ATACGAAAATAAACGGGACATTAGGTTATATTGAATTGTGATTCCAGAAGATTCATTAATTTTTATCAAATTGTTTTTGATAAATTAACAATTTATAAATATTTATCGATTTTTTATGTTTTATTAGCACAATATAAAAAACATAATATAAATTAACGAAAAGATAAATTTAACATATGAATTTTATTAACATATTTTCTTGTATAATTAACACACCGAAAAAAATAAAATTAATTAACGAAAAAAATAATTAACAATTTAAAAATATTTATCGATTTTTATTGTAAAATTAACACAGCAAAAATTTACAAATAATTTAACGCAATCAAAATTAACATCTAACTATTATTAACGTTTTTACATGTTAAATTAACAAACTAAAATGTAAATAATTAACGATAATTCAATAAAAAATGTGTATTTCAAATAAACTACATTGTACAATATCTGTTTGTAATTACAAACATTTATTTGTAATTATCAATTAAATATTTTATTTGTTACAGAATCGACGGAGTAAAATATTTAAACCACAATTAAACAAACATTATTTGATAATTAAACAATACTGTTTTATTGAAATTATATTCCAAAGAATGACTTGTTATAAATATTTAATTTATTATAAATTATAAACATAAAAAATGAATAAAATGATGTCATGTGCATGATCAACATATAAGACTATGGTCATTTTTCAACATGGAATAAAAAATGCATCACAATTAACAACATTTTTAATAATGATAAATCATTTGTGTTAGAAAAAAACTATTATTTTAAACTTTTCAATATATCTTTCAACCTGTTTATAATTTTGTTGATACTTATTAATGTACAACATAATTGTTTTTGTATTGTATATTTAATTCTAAATTATATTGTTTTAATAAATGTATTGTAAAATGTATAGCATTGGTCATTCAACGTGCCAAACAATGACGATATAAGCAGTTGATTTGTCTGGAATAAAATACATTTTAACAAACAGTTAGTTAATAATGACATCAATAAAAAACATGATTATAACTTCTTTTGTATTTTAATGAACAACAAAAACACCAAACCAAAAAAAATATAAAACATTGTAACGGTCCATTTGTTTCAAATCATAAACCAATAGAAGTTTACGCTTTACTTTGTTTAAACATCAAAAACACAACAATAAATTTAATTTTCATTATATGGACAGTAATATTTAAATAAGGTACAACAATTTGTGTATTAATATATCATTTAAAACAGCTTATATTTTACATATATATACGTTGAAATCAATAAACACGAAATTGTGACTTTTATGTATTTGAACTTGATTTTTTGTAAAAAACATTTTGACATTTAAACAAAGGTGGGTAAATAGTTACTGATTCAACTTCAATACATATTTGTTGTTTAAAAACATTTCGTTGACAATATATCAACAACAATATTAAAATATGTTAACAAAAAATACACAACTATAGTTTTTAATTCATGTTAATTCTTAGACTACTAAAAATGATTTTAATGTCTGATGTACACGTTTAAGTGAGTCGCAAGTAAAATCCTAAAATTTGTGTAAACTGTGATACTTTTTTCATTTTACTGTTATCTTTTAAACTTTTGGTTTTATGTTACATTTTTACACATCATAAAGTTACCACTTTTAAAATTTTAGGCTGTTTTTAAATCACCAGTGTAGCAATAAATGGTAAAACCCAATACACCAAATGTTGTTATCAAATCAATGAAAATTACTAATTAACAAATGCTTCCATTTTAATTGATCATAATAGTTGTAGTATTATCAAAATATACATGTTCACTTTTTGTGTTGTAATATAAATAATAATTAAACGATAGTTAAGAAATATTTGGATTAATATCTCGCTTGCACATCATTTTCAACAAAAAATTGTTGATATGAAAATTGAGGATATGGAAGTGATTGCACAATGAAATTATTAACAATTGTTTATATTTGATTTTTCTTTGTATTAACAAATCGTCAATGCAAACACTTATAATTACAATTAATAATTGAAAAAGAACAATGTCATTAACAGTCATTATTCATTCAAAAATTTAATTATACAATTACACTTGTATTAACAAATATGTATATCTATTATTAATATATTTAAACTTTTAATTGTGTTGATAACTTTGTTATGTGAATAATTGGAAACACCTTTTTACTAAAAGTTAATAAATGTATAATTATTCAAAATAAATTTTAATGATATCAAAATATAAATCAAAAAATAACAGAAATGGTCAATTGAAATATTTAATTTCGATTTGATTATAACTGTATATATTGTTAATCGTATGTGTATTAACGTAAAAGAGACTATTTTAAAATTATATAAATATAAAACTTGCAAACTTTTTTGTTGTTGAAAGTTTGGCTTCAAACATAAACTGTTAGATTCGAATATAATTAATATGATTTATTTTTACAACAAATTTTTATTATTGAAAATGTGAATATCTGTATTAATAAGTATTTTATGTAAACCAAATACCTCGACTACTAATAAGTTAATAAACCATTATTGATTAAATATTAATTATTGGATTTTAAAAAACAATAAAAAAAATATAAATGATGTGATTGTTTTGAAATTGATAATTGATATCTGATGAGCCTGTTTAATTTATTAATAAATTATTTTTTGTTTATCAACTACAATAACTTTTAGATGTATGAAATTTTATAAAACTTGTAACAACTCGAATGTTTTAAAAAGAAAGAAAAAATGCAACCAAATATCGAGAAATTACTTTTATTTTGTTATTTAATTTTATATATTACAACAACACCTGGAATTCAATTATGTTACGTCAAACTATTTAATCGGGCTTACATGATACCGAGAATTTACATTTCTGAACTGTCTCATCTTTTCTTTTTTGGTTTCATGTTATTGGTAATTCAGTTAGTGTTTATTTTCAGATTATGCCATTTTGTAACGATATATTTAATACAATGTTTTTAATATATTTTTGACAAATATTTCATAATATTACTTGTAAAAGAGGATCAATGTCATTGTTTGCATCCACAATAGTCATTAAGATTATAAGTTGTAAAAAATCACATATCAATTACAAGTGTATATTATTAAAAAATACATCGATAGTTTTTAGTCTACAATATTATAAAGCAAATATATACTCTAAAATACAACATACAAATAATACAGCTACGACTATTGTGTTAATAACGGGTTATTAATAACAAATTTTTGTTGCATGTTTGATGAAATTTTAATTATTAAATTGATAACAAAATAATAATTTAATAAGTTATTATAGATATTTTATTAAATAAAACTACAATAATTTCATAACAAATTATTATTTAATTAAACTATAAAAATATAAAATAATTAATTATAACAATTATTGTTACAAACTTATAGTTAAGTTATTATTAATTTTAATAATAAATAAAAATAAAATCCCATAATGTTATTTTTAAATAGTAATTCATTTAATAACACAATGAAAACACAGTAATAAAATAATTGAAGTGTTCTTAAGGTGTGTTTGGTTTAAAACGTTTTTCTTCACGTCAATAATTAATAATTAAAATTGTTAATAAAAAATATTATAATTTGTTATAAAATGAATATAATTACAGGTTAAATAAATAGTATAATACATGTCAAAAATGTTCATATAAACTAAAGAATAAATAAAATTTAATTGTAATAATGGTAACTATAATAATTAAATGATTAGTTCTAATTACTATTTTATTATACTATTTCTAATTTATTTAACATTATTTTATTTGAATTTGTATATTATTTAATTATATCAAAATGATTAAATTTATTATACTTTTAGTTTTTTTGTTAATTTTATATAAAAAAAATATGTTCAAAATGAATTTAAATCATTAATTTATAGATTAATAATAATTTATTAATAGTTAAATTGTTTTTTAGGTTTATTTGTGACTTTATTTTACTATTAATATTTCGTTGTTATTAATTTCTTATATAGTTTTTATAAATGTTTATATTTGTTTTTAGAAAATGTTATTTAATTGTTTTTGACAAAATGTACTACTTCTTAATATATTATTTATTACATTATATGATACATAAATATATTATTGTGGGTTAAACATTAGTTAAGATATCGTTAATTTTATTATATTGTTATAATAAATTTGTATAATTTATTATATCATGTATATACTATAACAATTAACCAGTTGTTAATAGTTTAAATACTAGACGTTTTTACTATTGTTCTATAATAGGGAGTAACCATGAGGTGAGTTTTATTTTAATTTGCCAAAAAATATTTTAGTGCAAAAAAACAAATTTTTCCGAGGCATGCTTATTATTTATCCAATAACAAAAAAAAGATTTATTTTTAGAACATTTTATCCTTCAACTCTTATGTCAGATAAAATCTTCAAGCGATGAGGGATGAAATAATTGGAACCAAAAAATCACCATAATGTTATGCATTATATTATTCCAATAATGTATTAATAATTATAATAACACAATTAATAATATTAATACATATCTATTCCATTTTGATAAACATTTTTTCAAACTGTAAAATAGAAAATCATTAATGAAAATTGACATCACTCTAACACACCCCGGACAAGTACTTGGCGAGCAGATTCGTGGTTTTGTCACAGTAACAGTAAATTCCCCGACATTGATTAAAGGTGTTACTGTTAATGTATTAGGCCAAAGCCATACTTATTTACACGCGGACTGTGACAACGTACTCAACTGTAAATAAGCGCCGTGTTGCTCATCATCACACTGTTACTGAGCACGTGAACACAAAAGTCTATCAGTCTCCAGACTTTCCTGTTATTGAAGAATTACACAACCACAACATTTCTTTGACCACTGAATTAGCACCAGGAAAGTATGACTACCCCTTTGTCTTTCAACTTCCACAAGGACTTCCTTCATCACAATTTTTTACTGGGAGGAATGTGTCGGTGACTTACCAAATCTCCGCCAAAGTTATTTCGAAGAACAATTCAACAACAAAGTCGAGTGGATTTGTCCTTCCCGTTTGCATTTCAACACAGCGACACATCCCACGTCCAAAGATGTTTGTCGATAACACGGCACCCCTCTCAATACAACTCGCAATAGACGACGAAATCCCAGCAGTTGGCGATGTCGTCACTGGAACTCTCCAATTAAGAAATGACTCACAGCATAACGTTACTATGACTGCTTCTTTCTGCGCAGTGCACACATACAGAAATACTCGATGTGAAGTGTTCTCTGGCACAACAGCATTTCCCGTGTTTGGCCCACGTTCGACGAACAGTGCGCCTTTTAATATGAGTGTACCTATTGACATCCCTCTTTCTATCTCTAATGACCCTTTTAATGTCTCAAATTATATCAAAATTGACGGGAGTTATGGGGGAAAGTCTTTCCAAATGCTCTGCCCAATACAAATTGGGTGTGACATGATCGATCCGCGAATGATGTGTGAGCGCGCCGCTGTTTTTGGCGGGCGACGGGACTTCACAAAAGCCACTGCGTTCTATGGCAAGCACTTCCGAGTCCCTCCCCACTATGAAAATATCACCAACCCAAATCTCCCAATAGGAGTCGAAGAGATAGAAGGCGTGGACGGACAGAACTACTTTGTGTCACACTTCTCGAGACAATGCAGTTTCACCCCCGACATGCAAAACGGGTGTAATATCCCATACCCGTCATATAATTCCGCAATGCTCCCACCAGGATGGGCTATGGGAATGGACTATGGTGAGACTTATTTCATCGATCACAACACGAGAAGTACGACTTGGGTCGACCCAAGACCTATGGAACAAAGAATAGTACCACATATTGCTTTGAATAAGACTGCAACGTTCACCGTTGAAATTATTAAGGCGACGGGACTCCCCATTTTGGGGTGGGGATTTCCAGATCCGTACGCTTGCGTTTGGGACGAGAAACAGAAATGGGTGTCGACAGGGGTAGTCCCGAAGAGTATTGATCCAGTCTTTACTAAGAATAATACACTGAGTTTCAAAGTTGAAAAGGACCGAAGGAATGTGATGGTTTATCTTTACGACAAACATAAAATCACATACGACGTCTTTATGGGCGCAATCAATTTCGATTTGCAATACTTCCCACCAGACGTCTCTATTCAGGACTGGTTCCAATTGAGCTGCTTTGGAGAGAAGGAAACGGCAATTACTGGGAAAGTGTTGATGAAAGTGTGCTACCGAGTCAATGAAGACGTTAACAATGTCGCTGTCGATATCATAGGGAAATCCCCATTACTGCAAGACTATTATCCATATACACACTTCATCATGGATCAAATTGAAAAACAGAACAAGGCAAGAACTGAAAAGAAATTACCTGAAAACTCAATGATGATGTGTGAAGGAAAAATTATCTGTAGAAATCCAATTTAAATCAATTTTTTTCATTTTTTTGATGGTTATTCTTAAAAATTTGTTGCTATTTTTTATTCTTTTGATAAACCAAACAATTACATTTCAACTTATAAATTTTCAATTAAATAATCATTTTTTTGTTATCTCTAAAATTGTTCGAATAAGTTAATATTGGTGGTTATATTTATTGTTTTATCGTTATGATAATTTTATTTAAGTATACTTGTCTTGATAATATAAAAAACAAAAATACTATGAA